CCTATCAGATGCAGACTTTAAAACACTGGTGATAAGCATGCTTAGAGATCTCACTGAGTATGGCAAAAGCATAAGGGAAAAAATGAAGGCTACACCAAGTGAAATAAGGAAAAATCCACAGGGAAGGGGGCCAGGGTTCCCAACAGTAAAGGGAAGGAGGCCAGGGTTCAAATCAACAAATTAGAACATAAGGAAGAAATAAGCAGACAACCAGAGCAGAATGAAGGAACAAGAATTAAAAAAAAAAACAGGAGAGAATAAGGAGACTTTAGGACATCTCCAAACATGCCAACTCCCAAATCATAAGGATACCAGAAGGAGAAGAGGAAGAACAAGAAATTGAAAAGTTATTTAAAAAAATAATGAAAGAAAGCTTCCCCAACCTGCCAAAGGAAACAGACATACAAGTCCAGGAAGCTCAGAGAGTCCCAAACAAGTTGGACCCAAAGAGGACCACACCACAACATATCATAATTAAATTGCCGAAGGTTAAAAATAGAGAATCTTAAAAGCAGCAAAAGAAGAGAGTAACCTACAGAGTTGCCAAAAGACTACCAGCTGATTTCTCAAAAGAAACTTTGCAAGTAAGAAGAGACTGGCAAGAAGTGTTCAAAGTGATTAAAAGGAAGGACCTATAACCAAGATTACTCTATCCAGCAAAGCTGTCATTTAGAATTGAAGGGCAGATAAAGTGCTTCCCAGACAAGGTAAAGCTAAAGGAGCTCATCATCACCAAGCCCTTATTATATGAAATGTTAAAGGGACTTATTAAAGAACAAGAAGATCAAAACTATGAGTATTTAAATGACAGCAAACACATCTATCACAACTCAATCTAAAAAACAAAAACTAAGCAAATAACTAGAATAGGAATAGAATCGTAGATATGAAGGGTTGTGACATCTGGAGGGTTATCAGTGGGGAAGGGGAAGGAGGAGAATGGGGAAAAAGGTGCAGAGATTAAAACACAAATTAGTAGGTACAAAATAAGCAGAAGAATGTTAAGAACAGTATAGGAAATGGAGAAGCCAAAGAATAATATATATTATTCTTGCATGACCCATGGACACAAACTGAAAGGGGGGTATTGACAGAGGGAAATGGAGTATAAGGTGGGAGGGTGCAAAGAGGTAAATTAGGACAACTGTAATAGCATAATAAGTAAAACATACTTTAAAAAAAAGAGAAAAAGAAAATTAAATTAGGAAGTATATGCAGCTCTATAAGAAAATAGTCCAGGTTTATGTGCCCTATTGCTGGTACCATGGAATTTATCACTTTACAAAGAAAGTCCAACACAATTCCTTTAAAATGGGTTGTAATGTGAGCATTTAACATATAATTTCATCTCCAGGGCATCTCATCTTAACTTTCCTGTGAAAGTAGCTTATAAGGTTAGATTTTTTTTCAGAGGGTTACATATTCAAGTGTGGTGGTTGAGAAGCAGCACCCATTTCCTCCAATTTCCTTAAAGTGAATATAGTTTTGTGAAGAAGAATGAAGTGAAGACAAGTGGTTAGTTCAGTGGCTTTGAAAAAAATGCAGCTTTTTGTACTTTGAATTTACCATAACCAAAAAGTCCACTGGGTTGCTGTTAATGGTTCTAAGTCAGAGGAGAAAGAAGAAAACAGTTATTTGGGACTGAAAAAAGGTTCAGTTGTTACCTGCTGCCAACTTGCATGTCATAGATGAGGAGAATGAGGTCAAGAAGACTGCATCTCATCTTACCCATGTTGACTTAACCAAGGAGTGCGAGAGTGGAATGAAAGGGCCATCTCCAGACTGATAGGTCTGCACTCAGAGACTGATTCTGCAACATGAATGCAACAGTCAGCCAAATACCTATAGATAGAAGAAAGAAGAGTTGGTCAGAATGTGTCTTTGGACAAGACGTTTGGACCTCAGTGTATATCTTTGACCTCTTTCCTTATCTGTAGAGTCAAGCTGAATATTGCCTGTCCTGCCTACCAGGCATTTTTGGTTGAGAGATCAAAGGAGATAAAGTCTATAAAACTTCCCTAAATATTGAACCACAAAATAATGGTAACAATCCTCACTTGTTAAACACTTGAGATGTGCCAGGCATTGTGATAAGCATCATTGCATTATCACAGCACAATAGGATTTAAGAAAGCCATTTCCTTCATTGTACATGGGAAGGTAAGACTTTGGATAAATAGCTCATCCATGATCTCACAGATTTGAATGAGGTCTAGCTGATTCTCTTACCCAAGCATTTAATTATCAATAATACTATATCAATAATATATACCAGTAATATACCAATAATATTGATGTAAACATAATAATGCTATAATGCTATATAACACCATATAATGTATATTACTATAGTATGCTGGTACTTACTATACTGGTACAACATTACTGTGTTACTATAGTACATAATATAGTACTATATTATATATTGCATAGTGATATTACTAATTATATAATAATATAAATAATACATGAATTGTATAAGAATACCACCATATGAGATTATTATGAGGTAATTATTACCATGGTCAGTGGTAATAATTAACAGTGCATACTTATACAACCAAAGAGCAGTAGAGGAGATATTATCCTATATGAACTACATCATAGCAACAAAACATTTTTAGTATCTTCCCAATTTCTTGCAAGTAATTTAAAAAAAGGATTGACCTTTAAACTTTTCCAAGGATATAGTTACATTGGTTTTAGCATGCCCTGGCCTGTGTGTCTTAGTTGGTTGGAGCATGTAGCCCCATAAACTGGTTCGAGCCCATGCCCAGATTTCAGGTTCAGTCCTCATCAAGACAATTGATGTTTCTCCCATCTACGTTTCTCTCCCTCTCTCTCCCCCTCCTTTCTCCTCTCTCTATTATGATTATTATGAAGTAATTATCACCATCGTCAATGGTAATAATTAACAGCACATACTTAAATAACCAAAGAGCAATAGAGGAGATATTTATCCTACATGAACTACATCATAAGTTCATATAGCCCCCCCAACACCCTTAAAGGTGAAATTAGTGGTAATAAGAACATCAAGAGTTTTAATGATTAGAATATATTATTGCTTGTACTCACCTCATCATAAAAAAAAATCACTTAGAGTGATCAATATGACAAATGAGTAAACCAGAAGATGGCGTTGAAGATTAGCAATCACACAAGGTAGCCTGGTAAAGTCTCAGAAAGTTTCATAGAATGACTGTTGTTTTGAACTTCTAAAAGTAGATGAGTGAGAAAAATGTTGAAACTAACTAAACCTGGTGCAGAGGACACATGTACGAAAGTATGAAAAGCTCTCGTTTGCCATTTTTGTTCTTAGCAATCTTCTTCTGTCTGTTGTTTATGAACACTTTGAGGAAAAGAAACTCACTGACTAAAATGTAATGCAACATGAAGACAGCATTCTTCGCTTTGTGCACTGAAATATTCCAAGTTCCTAGAGCAGTTCCTGACAAGTAGTAGGTGCTCAAAATGTATTTGTTGAATGAATGAACCTGTGAAAGGACAAGAAAGGAAGAACAGGTTGTGACCACAATTTTCTTTGAACAAAACCCTGTTGTTTATTACATAGATTCTGATCATGGAAAATTTACTTGGGTGAATAAAAATATGTCATCCTGTTAATTTCTGAGAAAGTCCATGTGCTTTAGGAAAAGTGTACCTAATCTACGTCTTACTGCCTATTTTTTTCTAGACTAAACTTAGTGGTTTTTTTGTTGTTTTTTTTTTTGCAGGGGTGGTAGGAGACATTGACCCAACTTATGAGATTAAAAGAAAAACTGAGAAATAAGTGAAATCAAAAGCTTTTCAAAAGTTGTGAATTGACCTGGGGTGATGGTAGTCTAAAATCATATAGAAACTGGTGAGCTGAAGGTTTACCTGAAATTGCTAGGTAAATAAACATGCTCAGGGTATCCAAAATGCTGTGGTAAAAGCTTAGTGGGCAGATGTTCAGGGAATTAATTTTTATATTAAAGACACCTTGGAAAATTAAATAAAATTTCTGGTCCATTTAAAAATTATTCTTATTCTGGACATTTATACTCCATTAGTAAATTGCTTCCTACTAGGTTGAGGTTAAAACTATGCCATTTTAAGATGAACTTAAGTCCAGAAGCAAATATTCACTTGGAGATTTCAGGATTCGTCCCTCACCTCCATGTAGTTGTAACTGAAACTTTGGGAACTATGAATTGCCTTCTGAGTCACTTCAATTCACCAGTTTAATAGATGCCAAAGTATGAGCATTTCAAACATGCAGACAGTATTTGAATCACAGTTTATAGTTCAAGGGATCTGGGCCATTTCCTTCCTCCCTCCCTCCCTTCCTTCCTCCCTTCTTTCCTTCCTTCCTTCCTTCCTTCTTTCCTTTTTCTTTCTTCTCTCTCTTTCTTCCTTTCTCTTTTTTCTTTTCTTTTCTTTCTTTTTATGAGTACTCTGTTCTCTATACAACGCAGAGGGGCAGAGTTCTTGAGGACAGCAGTGGGACTAAGGATGCCCCCCACCCACCCACAGTTCTTCAATACGGACAATTCCTCGGTCTTTGGTTACGTGCTCTGCAACCAAAGTCCCCTTTGCATCAGATTCCCGCTCCCACACATCCCCCACTTCCCGCGCTAACCGCGTAGCAGTCATTGGGTGTTATTAGTTATCGACAGGCCTCCAGCAAGTCCTGGAGCTAAGGCGAGGTCCCCATTTCGCGCCTTGCCTCTCGCAGGAAACCACCACGAATGAAGGTTGTCAAGGCCGCGCGTTCCCAATGCAAGTAAAGCGAAGAGGGCGACGAAGGGCGACGAAGGGCGCTGGAGTCCCCAGCCTAGCCGCGGCGAACCCTCGCTTGCGGGCGCCCCGGAACCCTTGGCCCTGACTCGCTTGCCAGTCCCTGCTCAGCTCGCTGCGATCCTTCCCCTCCCTTCTCTGGCACAGTCAGCCCCGCCCCAACCTAGGCTCCGCCCCAGCGCGGCTTTTAAGCTCTTAAAGTTCCTCTTTCTCACCTCGGGAGTCTCAGTTTCAAGACTTGAACTTGGGACCCACTGCTGCCCTCAGCTCCTAGTGCGGGGCAAGGTAAGACCTGGGGTCGGGATGGAGTATAGGTGTGAGGCTGGCACGTCAGAGAACCCTGAGCGAGAGGCCAGAGGTCCCTGGGACAATCTCGAAGGCAGCACAAGAGACCCCAGCTTCGGAGTTGAGAGAAAGTACGCTCCTCTTGAGGGAGTCCGAACCCCCACCCTGTGTGGTCAGGGCCCAAGGCTTTTGTGCAGGCTCTGTGGAGGGCCCCCGGGGCACTGCCCGAGCATCTCCTCCGGCTCACCCTGCTCCCGTGTCCCCACCACTGTTCGGGGCCGCCCAGCGCCGGCCGGGACAGCACGCAGGCACCCGCTGGACCAGATTGGAGAACAAGATTGTTAGGTCCTCAGGAGTGGCCAGGACAGAGCCCTCGAAGGCACCCACACGGGGCCAAAGTCTTCCCCGCAGGAGAGAGCCTCTTACTTCTGAGGCCCCTTCTGCTCCTTTGTAAGGGTCCCAAACCCACCGCGGCTCCGGCGCGTGTTTCCCTGGCTGGTGTTGGAGGAAGACGACCTCCAAATTTGGGGCACTCGGGGCCTGCGCTCTGCTGCCCCAACTCCAGTCCTTTCCGGTCACCGGCACTCTCCACTGCAGCTCTCCTTCGCGGGCCTCCAGGGTCAGGCTGACACTACACGCGCCATCAGTATCTCCCGGTACTTGGCAAGGAAAGTAGCCAAGTACCGGGTCACTGCTGTTTGTTGCCCTCAGAGCCTACTTAATCCTTGCTCTTTGGCAAGGGCTTAGGGCTATTCTTGAGACAGAGTTTTGGTGAGGGAGAATGCCCGGGGGCGAGTTGGTGCGTGCTGAGCACCTGGCACAACCTAACTGCAAGCTAGCCCTCATGCAAAATTGGCGCGCAAGGGTCACCAAAGGAGTGTGAAATGGGGAGTAGGCAAGAATGGAAACTGACTGTGGGATCAAATGGACTGACAGTAGATTCGGGATGGACAAAGAGGAGCAAGAACTACGAGTGAGTGAGTAAACGGGGTGCCAAGAAGGGTGGAGGCTCGATGAGTGTGCACAAAAGCTAGAGTTGTGTGTCTGGGCTGCGGAGTGAGTAACAAAAAACGGAGAATCTAGAGGATGGGGTAGAATAATAGATTCCGCTGAGGGCGCGCTCAGGAGGAGATAGGATTGTGCGCACCAAGGGGACGAACCCGGGCCAGTTGAGGTGTCTTCTCTCAATGAACTTTGATGACCCTGTTTAGCGCGCGCCTCTCTACCTCGAGACTCCGGGCCTCGTGGTCATTGCCAGGGCGGTTTGGGACAAGGTACCCTGAGCGCTGTGCTGCGGTGCTTAAGGGCGGCCTTCCTCTCCCCTGCAGCTCAGAGTGAGTGCTGGAGGCAGATCCTGGGCACGAGAGGGCGGCAATCAACGCGCTGGGCATGAACCTGGAGGGTGGTGGCAGCCGAGGTGGAGAGTTCGGCATGAGCTCTGTGAGCTGCGGCAACGGGAAGCTCCGCCAGTGGCTGATCGACCAGATCGACAGCGGCAAGTACCCTGGGCTGGTGTGGGAGAACGAGGAGAAGAGCATCTTCCGCATCCCCTGGAAGCACGCGGGCAAGCAGGACTACAACCGCGAGGAGGACGCAGCCCTCTTCAAGGTTACACACACGTGGGGAGCCCGCGGTCTGGATGGGGGAGGGCCCCAGAGAACCGCATGGGTCCTGAATCCACTCTGCCGTGAGCCCAGTTCCTGCTCCGTGTGCCCGCCCGGTGGTTCTCAGAAGGGTGGTTACAAGCACAGGACTGACTGGAAAGGGTGGTCCCGGGTGGGCGGGCCTGGCGGCCAAGGAACATTGGGTGTCTAAGAGCCGAAGCCCAGAGAGAAGGGAAGTTTCGGCTTCTCTAGTGATTTTAAAAACCGAGAGGACCAGGTCCCGATCCCGAACGTGTGGTGTGAGTCAGAAACTTCCAGCAGTGGGGGAGTAATTGTTGCCTCGATCAGGGCAGGTCAACCACCTCAGGACACTGTGGTTGTAATTTTGTGGACTTCTCTGTTTCCATTGGGCCTCCATCTGTACCCCTGGATCCTTCCTTACCTCTTCTGATGAACTTGTGTCTCTCTTCATGTTTCTCTGTCTCTCTCAGCCCCCATAGGTGTGCTGGAGTCAGTTTCTTTTTGTCTCTTTCACTCTATGTTTCCCTGTGTTTTTACTATTTCTCTCTCTCTCTGAATATTTTTTTTCTTTGATTCAATGTCTCTGATGCAGGCTCTCTCTCATTCCACCTCTCCTTGGGCCCTTCCATACCTGTTTCTCCCTCTTTATCTCTCTGCTTCTGTTTGTCTGACCCCCTCTTTCCAAGTCTCTCTGGAATTTTCTCTAGGTTTCTGTTTGTCTCACCAACCCCACCCCCATCCCCCAGGCTTTTGGGTTTCTCTCTTTCTCTTTCTCCTCCTCTATCTCTCTCCCTCCAGGATCTCTGTTTTGAGCCTCTCTCTGGATCTTTCTGTCAGTGTGTGAGCTTCCCTCATGACTGTTTTCCCCTAGAGGAATTTACTCAGTGAACTGTGTATTAGGGCCCAGCCCCACCACCTGTGGGCAGAGCAGGCATAGGGGACTTCCTCAGGGAATTTGCTCTCAGAATACCTCAGATTGCCTGGCAGACCAGATGTGCTCCATTGGAGAAGCTCATCCCACAGCTCTGTCCCTAGTTACAATCAACTGTGTATTAGAAATTGGGTGAGTAGGTCCTTCCCCTTTACATCTTACCTACCTTTCACAAATACTTAGAGACTATTCAAACCACTTGTCTTCAACTCAGCAATGATAGAGACCAGTACTGTACATAGAAGATAACTGGTATGTTTGTCCTACATTTTGAGTGAGAGTGTAAATTTGAAGCACTGAAACATCATTCTTTTCTTTAGAAATACTATTCCCAGGTTCTTTCTTAAAAGATCTATATTTTAACTTTTTTCCTCTTCTTCCTCACCAGGCTTGGGCACTATTTAAAGGGAAATTCAGAGAAGGCATTGACAAGCCAGACCCTCCTACGTGGAAGACACGTTTGCGATGTGCTTTGAACAAGAGCAATGATTTTGAGGAGCTGGTTGAGAGAAGCCAGCTGGACATCTCAGACCCCTACAAAGTGTACAGGATTGTTCCTGAGGGAGCCAAAAAAGGTGGGGCTTCCTGGTTTGGGACCACAGAATATTGACAGTCAGACACTTATAACACCTTTATTTCATTCCGAAGTTCATTTTTCTACTTTTGTTTTTTCACAGCCTACCTGCCATCTGCCTCACATTCAGGCCCAGGAGGCTCACTGTCCAAGTTCTCTGGGTCATTAATTGAAATTCTTGTGGCATTAGTGTAGGGTGCTTTCTCAGATTCCACCTGCTTGTCTGAACATGTGTGTCCACATGTGTGTGTTTTCCAGTTAATTCTACTAAGTTATGGGCCCAGTTGCCCAATAAAAAATGGAAAACTTGTTCAAAGCTTTGCTTATCTATCAGTCTTACATGATTAACTTTTTGTAGAAGAGAAGCACACATTCATGCACAAATTACTACTATTTATAGAAATAAAAATGTTAACTTTTAAAGTGTACTATGGTCAGCTGGGCTGCTTATTCAGATCCCCTCTTCCCAAGATTCTGACATTGTGTCAGAGTAGAGCCCAGGAATCTGCATTTTAAACAAATCCTACAGTTGATCTTATTTGCAGAATATTTTGCTGGTGGGGCCCTTTCTGTCACATACAGGTGCATTCACACACAGCAGGACTTTGTAGAAATCAGCTTAATAGAGTTAACAAATAATTGCCCAAGGGAATTGCTGGAAAAAAGTCTTAGAATTTGTCAACACTATTATGCATTTTAAGAATTAAATCCTCAGATATTTTCTAAGATTTGATGCTTAGTTATATCAGTTTCTTTTTCACACTGTGCCATTTCCCTTTTGCAAAAAACACATAGGAGCAAAGCAGCTCACCCTAGAGGACCCACAGATGACCATGAGCCACCCCTATACCATGACGACGACTTACACCTCACTCCCAGCTCAGGTATGGTAGAAGGCGCAGGGCTTCTAGAAGGGAAGGCTGGGAAAAAATACACAAACAAACAAACAAAAAAACTGTTCTTGCTCTTAGTCAAACAACCAAACCAAACCCCTGGTCATTGAATGAGTGCCCCACTTTCAACCTGGTGTTGCTATCAGTCTTGATTTTAAGTAGGAGAGGAGTTGGCATGTCTGTGTGTTGGTTCAGACTTCCACTACTGATTCTAAAATCTTCTGGGAAATAGACCTATTGTGGAAGTTGAAGATTTTGGAAGCAGGACTTTATATCATGTGAAACCACAGGGCAGCTGATCTCTTTAGACTTTTCTGATGTGAATTACAGATCTGTTGTGTTCACTTTGGTGGGGAAAAGAAGGCTAATTTCCTCACAGTACTTTTGGTGCCAGGTTTAACCATATGATGAAGCTTTACATAAATCATTACTTTACAACACTGTCTCCATTGTGCTTATTTTGATTCTTTATGGCTATTTTTCACCTAGAGTGATGAGCCATTCAGTCCAGAGTCTTTCAGATGATAATATGATTGGGCTGCAGCCAATGAATAGATTGCCTGAGGAGTTTGGGAGGATATGAAAGAATCTGCTCCCATTTCCCAATGCCAACAAACTGTCTTTGCTGATCTGGTTGCTTTCATCTCTTTAGCAGGTTCATAACTATATGATGCCACCCCATGACCGAACCTGGAGGGAGTATGTCCCTGACCAGCCCCACCCTGAAATCTCCTATCAATGTCCTGTGACGTTTGGACCCCGAAGTCACCACTGGCAAGGCCCAGCTTGTGAAAATGGTAAGGACGGCACTGGGGCTGGTTCCTGTCTCTGCCACTGACCCAGCAGAGCAAACCTGGCTAAAGGGCCTTGGTCTCTCTTGATCTGTCCTTCTGTGCAGGACCACAAGTCTTTTCTCTTATCAGGACTGCTGGGAAAGACTTCATAGGCAGGGAAGGAGAGTTTTCTCTCTCCTGTGGGATGGTAAGGTCCTCAGAGGAAGGATGCCAAGGTTTACTAACATCAGGCCTACCACATGCCAGGACCTATTCTTGTAACTACCTTATGTGAATCTTATTTAAACACGACAAAGATCATTTCAAGTAGCTAAAAACAGCTCCATTTTTATAGAGGCTATCTCACAAAATGTGTTCTAGGATAGTGAAGCTGCTTCGGATCTGCTAACTCTGAAGCACAGCCTTCCCCTTAAGATAGGAAATGTCAGATGGCACACTGCTTAGCTATGTTTTTTTAAGTTATCTGTTGAACAGGTTAACATTTTTCCACCTTGTTGAATAATCTTAAGCTTTATTTTTAATCCTTGGCAAAAAATAATAGATTTTAGCAGTCTTCCCTCCTGGATTGTCCCTTAATGTTGGCTGAGGGCCACAAAATTTCGCTGATCTCTTTCGGTCTACATATCTGTCAAGTGGGTTTACTTCAGCTGTGCTCAAGCCCTCCCCCTCTACAGGGACACCAGGAGATTACTGAGCTAGTATATTTCTCTTAAACAATGGTGTGCCCCTTGTAGTTATTCTTAGAATTAGAGATGATAATAAGAGGAATGAATAAATACTATTTAAAAAGAATAAAAAGTTTCCACAGGGTATGTAGTGCTGGTTTTGGACCACTCTGGATTAGATGTGGTTCCATGCCTGTAGGGGTTCCCCAGACTTCAAGAGGAGATCTCAAAGCAGAAGCACTAATTAGTTAAGTGAAAAGAAAATTTCAAATGGTATGTTCAGTGCAGCATAACACATGATTTTAGAATTCTTGAGTTAGTTATTTAAAGAAAAATCCTGAGAAGGGTCAGCATATAGATTCTTTTGTACATTCTAGGACTATCTGGTCAGTTCCCCTTTTTCTAGTTATGTTCCAGTCACTGTTGGATTATGGTATTGAAGAAGTACACCATTATTTAAGGTTTGTGTTGAGTAGCATGTTTACAAAAGAACTCATAATTCAGTTTTATTAGCTTCTCAGAAATAATTTGTAGCAAAGGTTGGTTTTCTGTACCACAGTGTGGGAATTAGTGAACATTAAACTTGTTTCAGAAATTCAGACCCATGTCCCGTGCATATGGCTCTACTAAACTAATAATTCCAGTGAAGAGATAATGCATAGAACTGTGCAAAAAAAAGATGGAATATGCAGACATATTTTGAAGCATTAGGTGACATTAAAAATAGTGCAAGGTTTTAATTGGGCTTTTGGCCTGAGAACTCTTGTGTATCTGAGCTCACAGTTCTGCTGTGAACTTGCTATGTGAACAGGGGAGAATCACTCCATCTCTCTGAGTCTCAGTTTCCTGGTTATCAGTTATGGAGGGATGTTGGCCAAAGTGTACAATCTCCCAATTATAAGATGAATACATTCTCGGGGTCTAATGTACAGTTAACAATACTGTATGATATTTGATATTAAAAGTTGCTAAGAGAGTAGATCTTAAATGTTTTCAACACACACACAAAAAAGTGGTAATTATGTGTGGTGATGGAGGTATTAAGAAGAAAGAAAGAAAGAAAGAAAGAAAGAAAGAAAGAAAGAAAGAAAGAAAGAAAGAAAGAAAAGAAGGAAGGAAGGAAGGAAGGAAGGAAGGAAGGAAGGAAGGAAAGAAAGAAAGAAAAGAAAGAAAGAAAGAAAGAAAGAAAGAAAGAAAGAAAGAAAGAAAGAAAGAAAGAAAGAAAGAAAGAGAGAAAGAAAGAAAGAAAGAAAGAATTACAGAGGGAGAGTTCTGAGTTTCCTTCCAAAGCTGTGAAAAGGCTCCTTCCTCCTCTGGATTTGGTTTTTCCCATAGGACTTTTAGCTTATCTTTGCCTGTTGAGAGAGCCTATGGTCAGCTCTGGAGAGCCAACCCATGGCCCTTCATTCCTGGGTTTGGTGCAGGCCTATCTATGTGTGGATGAACTCTGACTTTCATTTGCAAATACAGGTTGCCAGGTGACAGGAACCTTTTATGCTTGTGCCCCGCCTGAGTCCCAGGCCTCTGGAATCCCCATAGAGCCAAGCATAAGGTCTGCCGAAGCCTTGGCCCTCTCAGGTGAGTGTGGCGTACGGTCTGGAGGCACCCACAGGTGGCCTGTGTCTACAGAGTTCACCCTCCACTTTTGGGTAGAATTGATGGGGCAATTGGTGAGCACAGCCTATGGGCACTCAGTCCTCCAGCTGGTGCCTGGATGTGTATGGACACATCTGAACTCACCACCACCGTGAATGAGAAACAGTATTAGCAAAGTTGCCACTGAGAAGCCCACTATGATTCTAATTCAATTCTATGTGCTGGTTGAGGCATTTTAAGTTCTCCATTGGCATTTATCTGAATTTCCAAGAATATGCAAACACTCCATTTCATTTACCTAGAGTCCCTCTTCAGCTAACACCTTCACAATATAGTATAATTTCTTAGAAAACAGCACCAAGGTTTCTCATTGTGAAAAGCTGATCACTCTGCCAAGTTTAGCCATAAACAGGTCTTTCTCATCAGCCTTCTGGAGACATTAGTTCTGGCTACTTTGCATTCATTGCATTTGTGTGAGTATTGTGGTCTTTCTCTGAACTTTGATATGTCTTGAAAAAAGAATATATGGATTAGATCTGATATGTATGTTTCACTTCTAAAAGAATCCTGGCACCTCAATCTTACCTGTTTTAAGGAAGGCACTTCAGGTGTACTAAGCCTATGTGATGTGTATATATTTATTTTTTAGATAATGTGTTGGATTGTTTAAGAATGGGACTTGTATTTATATTAAAAATGAAAAGCTTAAGCCTCTGGATCCTCTTGCATCTCCCCAACCCAACCTCACTTCTTTAAAAATAAGTGATAAAAAACATAAGCTAAATTCTCAAGGTTTCAGGGAGACAAGGATTTTGAGTACCTTTTTTGCTCCAAGGGGAGCTGGAGTTTTATGATTTAGTTCTTTTTGATTCCAAAGTTCTGAATGAGGCTGCTGCCTCCCCTTCTGAGAGGCTCCTGAGTGATGGAGGGGAGATTTTCCAAGTAGAAAGTCTTGTGTTTGCTTTTAGCAACTTTCAAACCCTTTCTTGAGCTCTTAAAACTTGTGTGAGTGCCTGAAAATTAGAAAATAAACAGCTACTTATATCACTGTGACCTCGTGATTTCTGGTGACATGAAATGAAATGAAACCTGCCCTGCTAGTTACCTCTAATGGCCAACACCCACTCTCACCAGGCTGCACCATCAGGCTGCGCCATCGAGCTGCTCTCAGCCAGTGTTTACAACAGCAGAAATTGAAGTGGAGAATTGACGCAGTTATGTGGGTTGTCTACAAACCTACCATTGAAAAATAAGAGGGTTTTGTGGATTTCTGTTTTGGGCATGAATAATACAGATTAATTGGGTATGTTTATTAGAAAACTGCCATTCCCATCCCTTCTTAAGTCCCCTGCAGTTACTGATAGGAAGCTTTTTTGCTTTTCAATTAAGGGCCCTTTGCAAATCTATCTCAGTCTTTTCAGCCTGTGAGTCATATTTTAAAGAAGGTTCTGAAATTATCAAAATTGCATAAATAAATTTATCCTGTTTAAGGTTTTAGAAAGCATTGTTTTAGAGTTATTTTCAGACTTAAACACATAGCCTAGTAGGAGATTTCAGCAGACTTTACTCTCAACATTTCTCTCATTGATTCTTTTCTTTCCACATGGATTAATTTTATTATACAAGTAGTACATACATAGTGTGAAAACTAATGAAAAATAAACTTCACATTCCCACCACCCAGAGATCACCACTGATAAGGCCTTAGTGCTTAGCCTTCTTGAAGCTTTAATATATACGTATTTTTAACCTTATGACATCATATTGATATTTTAGGGTAGTTTCAGATCTGTGGACATATTCGTTTTTACCCCTGACACATCATTATGCTCTTTTTTCTTTTTGCTAGTAAAAATTAAACTTAGGGTTTACTTTCTCCAAAATCGAAACTGATTGTCATGCTTAAAGATTAATTTTTGTTCAGTGGTACATGATTTAGTATTTTAGACATCACCACTACCATCATCACACACACAAAAATGATATAGGAAGTTCTTAACAGTAGTGCTTTCTAATACAAGTCAAACCTACTTTGCAGAAAAATAATGAAAGTTTTGCTCCCCTACCCTCTCAAAACCCATGGTCCCATAAATTTGGAAAATAATAAGTTAGACAACATCAAATTGATTTCTTATGGAACTTCTCCAATGTATCTCATTGCCTGTGAACCTCCAGGAGGGAAAGAAAGGTATGCAGCATGTAATAGACTTCCAGACCCTAGAACTTCTTACTATCTACACAGCAAGTTAGGGTATCAGTGTCCCACCAAATATTCTTTGTTCTGGCTCATAGTCTGGCATCCTGATGGGCATGCAATGCTTCTTAGTCCTTTAGCACTGACCCCAGATGTTCTATTTGCAGACTGCCGCCTCCACATCTGCTTGTATTACCGGGAAATCCTAGTGAAAGAGTTGACCACGGCCAGCCCTGAAGGTTGTCGGATCTCCCATGGACACACCTATGATGCCAGTAACCTGGACCAGGTCCTCTTCCCCTACCCAGATGACAATGGTCAGAGGAAAAACATCGAGAAACTGCTGAGCCACCTAGAAAGGGGTGTGGTCCTCTGGATGGCCCCCGATGGGCTTTATGCCAAAAGACTGTGCCAGAGTAGAATCTATTGGGATGGACCCTTAGCACTGTGCAGTGACCGGCCCAACAAACTGGAGAGAGACCAGACCTGCAAGCTATTTGACACACAGCAGTTTTTATCAGGTAATGCACCTAATTATCGATTAGAATTGAGTGCCTCATACCAGGAGCCTTACAGAAAGAGAATAAAGGTGGTGGTGGTATGTCTGCCACAATGGTCAAAAAACAACACGTCACTCCAGCCGGACAGAGGTCTTCCTTCTGTTAACTCCTGAACCCACTGGGCATGATCCCAGAATATGTTTCTTGTTTGTTTCACATCTCACCTCTCCTTTCACCACCTGCTCCTCTCGATCAGCAGAAGGGTACAAAGAAGAGGGAGATTGCTCAATGGGACTGAGGTTCAGACTGATAGCTTGAACTTCTGGAATTCCACAAATAGTCACCTAGTAATCCAATTCACACTTTATAGGCAGTCTGATCTCAGCAAACATATCTGTTGATGTTTCAGGTCTTTTAAGGTTCTTAGGAAAATTGCAGCTGTTAGAAATATAGCATTACCATTCTTGGTTATGAGATGTGTCATCGTTATGCAGATGCCCTCCCTGTAGGTGGGCCACAGATTAGAGTGTGTTGAAGTGATTTTTCAAAGGGAAAATTATGAGAAGGCTTTAAGCTATCTCTATGATATGTGTGTTTCAAATCATATTTTTCAGAACCAGTAAGTTTTGTTTTCCTAGTTTTGAGTTCATGACAATTAAATCAGCTCTGGACTGGTTTTTGTGAAACCACTGGCTACATTATTAGTGAGATGAAACAACTTCATCCCAAGTGTTCATATAGAAATTGATATTGACGCTGCCTCTTTTGGAGGCAGAAAGCTGTTCCAACCTGCCAGATAACTGCTGATTCTTTCTCTACCTTATCCTTAACCTATTTTTTAAGTACCCCCTTCAGAAACACCTTATGTCTTTGGGTTTTCTTGTTCTTCTCCTCTCCCTGAACATGCATTTTAATTCAGTTCCTTCAAAATAAAAATATGAAACACCTCTGTGCTCTGGCGCCATTAGCATTTGCTCAGCCTTTGGGTTTAAGTTGCCTGAATTTGCTTATGCTAATTCAAATTCTCTTTTGGTGCTCCCAAACAAATATCTCCCTAGATGACTAACCCTCCCCCAGAGGTGTGACAAAAAGAAGAGGGAGAACTGAGTCTCTGGTTCCCCAAGGCAGCACCACGGGTGAGAAACCCACTTGGGTCTGAGGGCCCCTCCCTAAATGAACTGATGAATTGCCTCTAAGACAGTGTTGTGACTGTTCTGTCTCTCCTGGGTCTCAGTGTGGTGATCATAATAGGGTCCTGAGAGTGGTCCTGAGCCATTGAGGAGTGCCCCATCTGTACTGTCTGTTCTGCAGTGGAATCTGAAAGAGCCTTCTGGGTTTGGATCTCCTCAAAGACTGTGGATCTTGGTCTCTTTGGATCCAGGAGATACTGCAGGGCTAGGGCTTTAATTAAGGCACCCCAGGGAAATAGCACTTGTTTCTCTGAGTTTCTCTCAAAGTACATGTTTTAGGAAAGCAGACTCCTCTCATTCTAACTAGGCAATGAATTCTTCTTTGAGTCACAGTGAACTGAGAGGTGCATACAGTGAAGAAGCAGGCAGGCAGGCACGATGTGCCAGCTACCAGCATCTTCAAGCCGTGAATTCACTTGCCTAGAACTTAGTATGTATCTGTGAGCAAGAGTTGTTTTGTTTTCTTTTTCCTTTCTTCTATAATCAAGAGCCATGCTTTTTGTCCACAGCAAACTCTTATCTTGCATTTGTCACTGAGGTGCAAGGAGGGACAAGTAAACTTGAAAACTGTAGCTGTGTGGACCAGCTCTGCCTAATCATAGAGGTTTTCATGTTATCAAGCCTCTGAAGCATGATTTTTTCAGAGAATTGTACCAACTTGCCATTCTGATTAGCTTGTGTAGGTGTAGCGAGACCTCCGTAGTGTAAATGCCTTTTAAACATTCTGACTAAATCCGTTAGGTTTAATTTGAATTCTGGAAGATAAAAAAGCAGGAAGTCAAATGGTCCAGTGAGTTAGCTAGAAACTTCTCTTCAGTTGAAGAGAACAGTGGAAATCTTTGCTATCTACCCATTCAGGATTTGCAGACTGCTAGGGACAGCCCCCGAAGGCAGAGCTCAAGGGTGTGGATCTGATAAAGATGCAGCCGGGTGCTGTTCCACAGAAGTTGTAGCAGAAACTGTGTAAGCACGTTTCTTTTGTATAAATGACATTTGAGTCTAGCGGAAAGAAGAGGAGCAGCTAGAGCCATGAGTTATCTTGAATGTGGGTGAGGGGTTGAACATATCTTTCCAACAGTGCTCTATTCTCTGTTTTGCATCCTTAGGGTAGGATTGGTGGCTTCAGGTTCTGCACATCCACATATGTGGGGGCCCCTCCTGCTTCATACCTACCCTTCTCATCTCAAATCATTGTCCGTCCTAGAAGACAGGCAAAAAGTCCACCCAAAGTCACACAGTTTGGGCTTAGTGCCAAGTGGGATGCAGCTGCCCATCCTGCTACTCAGTCTCTGAGATAACATCAAGCATTTTCTGTGGGGCCTGAGTCACATAGAGGTCCTAGGTAACAGATATGGGATTATGAAGGCTCAGCAGTTTTGAGAAGAGGTTTTTAAGTAATACCAGGACAAGTTAGAAAATTCTGATGTTTTTAAGAGAAAATTTCTTCTTTGTATAAATTATTATCTTGCCTCAACATAGCTACACCATATATTTTCCTTTTTCTTCCTCTTTCACTCCTTTATCCTACCTTTTGCATCCTCATGGGCCCAATACTGCAAAGTAAGCTTCTTAATCTGCAAGGCGTATTCCTCTTGAAGAATCAAGTGAGGCCTGGAGCCTGCTCAGCAAAAGCACACATATGTACATGTACATGCAGTTTTCCATCTGGGGTCTACAGGTTAAAAACCCCACTTAAGAGATATAAGAGTGCTCATTCCTACTTTTGTCTTCAGAGTCAACATAGAGCTCTTGCTTTCTGTTTTAACCTGATGTGCTCAATGATGAAGGTTCTGAACATGTTTTCTTTTTTTTTTCTTGTGGGGTTTCTCCAGAGTTGCAAGCCTTTGCTCATCATGGCCGACCCCTGCCAAGATTCCAGGTAACGCTATGCTTCGGGGAGGAGTTTCCAGATCCCCAGAGGCAAAGGAAACTCATCACCGCACATGTGAGTATTCAGTCACATTTAAATGGTTGTCTCCCTGTTCTTCATCAAGAGCAGGCTTCCATTTACAGACCTCTCAAATGAAAAATAAATGTCAAATGACTTGGGAAAATAGTAAGGGAAGAATTGTGATCCAGTGAGTGATGCAGGGAGTGTAGCCCAGAGACCCTCATCCTATTCCCAGCCCCAGAAATCTACTCATCAGAAATTGGAGATTGCCTCCAACCATAGGCTGCATTTATCGCATCTTTTTTATTTTTCAAGAAAATTGTCATATTCCCATTTTATATGGATTTAAAATGATTGATGCCCTTTAAAATTCTCCACATTTAATATTACTTTAAAACACTGTCTGATTTTCATCTGATGGAGGTTTTTTTTCCCAAATGGGAAACTGTTTATTGACATCTGTATTTTGTAGGTCCTTCAAATGTTTTCCAACTCTTCTTTTATTTCTAGATTTTTAAAAAGTTATAATCGTTGGAAACCAAGAGCCATGTGTTATTTGGAGAAAGCTAAATCTTTCAAGGAATGCAAGTAGATCAGACCATTGTAATGTTCTATAGCAGAATTTAAGTTAGGTTTGACTGTGGCAAGTAAACATTTTTTTCATAAAAAAAAGAAAGAAAAAAGTTTATATAGACAACATTTAGCATTAATTTGCCACAGAAAAGAGTTCTGAATACCTAGGACTTTTGAATTTGAAAACTGTGCATTGCTACATACCTTCAAGAGTTATGAATAGGCCCAGATAATGACTAGCAAAGGTAAAAATTCATACCCAATAATGTAAAAATTCAGGTCATATTTTAGTCCTGATAATGTTTCTTATTGAAAACTAAAATAAAACACTATCCAATCTTTAACATGCAGTCCTCCTTCTTGATTGTAAAATCAGAAACCAACCCAATAAACAAAATATAATCTCATAGACTTCAGCCTTTTCTCATGAATCTGTTCCAATGATTTATAAAATCATTGATGGAATCTTGTTAATAACTGGGATTGTTAAATGACTAAATAAACTTGGCATTGATAAATAACATTTAGGAAGCTGGTGATAAACTCCCAAATCACTGATCTGACTTTGAGTGTTTTTGGATGCACTCTCTCTCCTATACGTCAGGCAAAGATGGATTTCCCAGGCAAAGACCCCTGAAATCACCCTGTATGGTGCAGAAAAGGGAAATAGGTTTGCATGCACCCAAGAGTTTCTATTATTTTTATTATAGATTTAGTTTATTCCAGGTAATTTTTATAAGCTACTCTTAAGTTGCTATATACCAAATAATATATGAGACTCAATTTAATAGCACAGTTAACTGAAAATATTTAGTTTTCTTAGATGTTGTAAATTCAGGAAGAGATGAAAGTTAAAGTTTTTTTGGTGAATGCAATCCACAGTAATAACCAAACTAGATGAATTTGGGATCAGTTAAATGTTATTTTCCCACAATAGGAGTTTTGTTGTTGCTTTTGCTTCTTTTTCTTTTCTCTTTGGCTTAGAAGCATGCAGATTACCTAGGTCACCCTGGAATTGTGAATTGTTCAGGATGAGCCCCCTCATCCCTGTCAAACTGAAATGGAAAAATAAACTTATTGACCTAAGTTACACTAAATATTACCTCAAATTTTCTTTTAATTTGGTTATTTTACCTGATATGTTTCTGTCTTGGTTAAATGTAAATTTGCAGCAATAGATCATTTAAAAGTATCAGCTTTAACTTTAATTTCAGTGGAAACCCACAATTAAGTAGATTCTGTTTAGAGGTGTGTATATATAAGGACTAACAAAAATTAGTTCTTCAGAAGCCTCCAAGTATAAAATTTTTGAGGTGTTATAGCACCTAACTTTGGATATAACTTTACTATACTTTTACATATATTGAGTTATTTAATGATGATCCAATTGTAGGATGGTAAAAAGAATATCTTAGTAACATGTTCTTAAAATCTCATTAAAGGTTGAACCTCTACTAGCCAGACAACTATATTATTTTGCTCAACAAAACAGTGGACATTTCCTAAGGAGCTATGATTTGCCTGAACACATTAGCAGTCCTGAGGATTATCACAGATCTATTCGCCACTCTTCTATTCAAGAATGAAAATGTCAAGTGATTTTGTTTCATTGTAAATATCTGACTTTAACAACAACAGCGGATTGAACCCTCCTCTTTTTATTCTGATAAACTTGGGAATTGGAGCTTCAGTTCAACACTTAAGGAGAATCTCAGCAGGAATGTGTATAGAAAATGAGCTCCATCTAATGCACAGATGAGCTTTTTCCAAAAGGAAGAACAGTCTTTAAGATCTTCTATAGATTGTCATCATTGATGATAACTGTGAAATTTAACCAAAGGTTGTGTTTACATTTGCTTAAATGCTATCTCTTATTTGATATGGATAATTTCTTGCTTGAAGACTGAGAAAACTTGTATTTCAGTATTGACCACTAATTAGAGTGATGAAAGCAGTTAAGTATTGTACTGTTTCTCAGGGAAGTAAAATCTCCATTTAAGGCTACTCTGCCCGCAAAAGAAAGGTATTAACACATGTAGGAGATGTTGTTGTTGTAGAAAATGCTTGCTTATAGAAGGAAACGAAATATTCAACTGAGGTTGGGCCACAGTGCTTTCAGCTTTGGGGTGGCTCATCTCACCTCCTTGCCTGGGTCTCACCCTAGGGTAAGCTCCTAAGCCCTGCCTTTCACTGCCCTGTTTGCTTTCCCTCTTGGGGTGCTCTTGGAAGCCATTTGGTAGACTTTATTGCTATTTTCCTGAGCCAAAAAGCATTAGGGCTACCCATGAGTAGTACTTTTTTTTCAATCTGGATAAAATTGCTACAATATATTACATGAGTTTTAGAGCTTTAGGTGTACAACATTGTAATATGACATCTGCATGCACTACAAAGTGAATGATCACCCCCAAAAGTCTAATTATCATCTTTCATCATGCTATTGGACCCCATCATCAATTTCACTTGCCCCCAACCCCTTTCCTTTCTGGTATCAACCAATCTGTTCTCTGTGTCTAGAAGTTTGTTTTGTTTGGTTTTGTTTGTTTTGTTTTCAGATTTTACATATGAATGAAATGATATGGTATATGTTGTTTTCTGACTTATTTCACTTAGCATGATATCCTCGGGGTTCATCCATGTTATCATCAATAGTATGATTTCATCTTTTTTATGCCAAATAATATTTCCTTGTATATATGCAACACCTTCTTTATCCATTCATTTACTGATGGATACTTAGGTTGTTTCCATGTCTTGGCAGTTGTAAATAATGCTGCAGTGAACATAGGGAGCATGTATCTTTTCAAATTAGTGTTTTCATATTCTGCAGATAAATACATAGAAGTGGATTTGCTCAGTTATGTGGTAGTTCTACTCTTAATTTTATGAGGAATCTTCATACTGTTTTCCATATTGGCTGCATCAATTTACATTCCCAGGAAAAAGGGGTACAAGGATTCCCTTTTCTCCACATCCTTGTCAACACTTTATATTTCTTGTCTTTTTTATAATAGCCATTCTAACAGTGTGAGGTGGTGTCTCATTGGGCTTTAATTTGCATTTCTCTAATAATTAGTGATGAACATCTTTTCTTGTGCCTGTTGGTCATCTGTATATCTTCTTTGGAAAAATATCTATTCAGATTCTCTACCCATTTTTTAAGTGAGGTTGCTCATTTTTGTGTTGTTGAGTGGTATGAGCTCTTTATATATTTTGGCTATCAACCCCTTGTCAGATGTGTGATTTGCAAATACCTTCTCCCATTAAGTTGCCTTTTCATTTTAATGGTGCTTTCTTTCACTGTGCAGAAGCTTTTAAGTTTGATATAGTCCCATTTGTTTATTTTTGCTTGTGTTTCCCTTGCCTTTCAAGCCAGATCCACTTGAGTACTACATTTTTATCTGTCCAACAATCTAGTAATAATTGATTAAGACTTTTTCAATTCTTTTTTTGTCTTATTCCTTAGAAATTTTTGCTTAAACATTTTTTCCTAAAAAAGACTGATCAACAATCCAAGTACACAAGATGTATTTTTGAAACTCAGTGACATTTCCCCTCTTATCCTGTTTGTTTTGTTTGGCTATCAGTGAGTTATCCATGACAACACTAAAAAGAAGGAGCCAGTGCTTTTTGAATTGGTGAACTCTGTTAGGAAAGATGATGACAGGATTTCACGAATTGCATAACTGCAGACTCAGTGGGCTATTTTTGCTTATTTTGTATATTATATGCTTCCTCATGCAAATAATGGTTTGACAGGGCCTTACTATTACTGGCCTTTTTCCAAATACATCTTTTTATAGAATCCTTAAGATCTCAACTTGCTTAAGTAAACCTGATCATTTATTTGTTGTTTGTTTTCAGATACAGATATTTAAACTGATGTTAGTAACTGATGTTTTTGTCATAATACAAAATAACTGCTATTACTTTCAGGCTCAGCAGAAGACTTGATAGTTCTCCAATATATGCCACTCTTATTCTAATCTATATTTTTTAGTTTGTTCAACAAACTGTATATATCCCTGCATTAGAAAGATTATAGCATTTATCCATTTTGGTGAGCAATGAAGCATTGGGAAGTCACATCATTTTCTTCATTTTTAAAAGAATTATTTAATGATAAAATAATTCATAGTAACTACAGAAAATGTAAACAGTATAAAAGAGCTGATGCTCCTCCTTAGAAGTATCTAAAGGAAGAGTTTCACTTACTCTTCCTTTGTTTTCCGACACATTTCACTTTTTTACCAATCTACATAAACTTAAAAAATCTCATGGAATCCCCTTACACCCACTCTTGTGCAGTGTTCTTTTAACCTAACAATACAGACTTACCTCATTCTTTTTAGAGGCATTGTTGTAGAATTCCACCTCAATGTAATCCATACAGTTTAAACCTTTAAGGTATTTTATCAGCTAGTCAGAACGGCTACGTTTGGACAGCAGATTGTATTTGTCATGAACTGCAGTAATTTATACATCTTATAGATGCAAAGTATTTTGGGGTATATTACCCTAAGGGGTAAATGAAGACACAAAAGGAACCACTGTGACACAGGCCCTGGTGTGTGGCCCTTCACTGCAGAGCATTTAACCTGAACTTCAGAAAGGCTCTGGGGGTCTGTCCCAGGGGTGCATCTTCTTAATTCTCCAAGTAGATGCTTGATTTTCACTGCTGTTTGAATTCTTTTCTTCTTCTTTTTCTCTGTCTCTCTGTCTCTGTCTGTCTGTCTCTCTCTCTCAATATTAATCTGCTTTAACATGGGAGTTACATTTTCTGGAAAATGTTGTTGGCTTGGACCATTCCCCATCTTTCTCCTTATTACACTCAATTATGTTAACTTCTTTAATTCTGAGGGATCCAGAGTGTGTCTAGTGAATGAAACAATTATAAAATATTCAGGGTGAAAAATCCCAATAGTTGTCTCAGGACTTTGGAAAGGAATGGCTACTTCATTCCTTGACTTGATAAAATGAGATTAGCAAACTAGAACAAACTAGTTTGTTCTCAATGAAAACTGGGGTAAAAGAATTTAGGTACTTATTATGCCAAAAAGCTTTGGATCCAGGGAAAAATAATTCTCTCAATGGTGCATTTTCTTGGCATATTTCTTGTTCTTGAAGTTTAGTAAAACCATGGGCAGTAATTGATGCCTTCTGGAACACTAGAGAACCAAGGTGACCAACTCATTTTAAACCAAAACCTGGAGTCCCCTCCATTCCTGGATAAAAGAGAACAGTTAGTTACCCTATAGAGAACCCTGCAAGACTATTGTGTTTGAGCTAGGAAGAGACTACTCCACTGAGAGAGAAAATTTACAATCTGACAGTGGAATAAAGGGCACAACAGTCTAATTATCACCTAAGCATAGGTGTGCTCAGGTATGTGTTTAGAAAGTGTGCATTGGGCTAAGGTATGAACAAGATTTTCTTTCCCTATCACTGCATGGAACCCCTCAGAGTAGGAACGGCTCTGGGAGTCTTGGTGCGGGGTCTTTGAGGGGCTTCTGTCTGAGAAGCTGAGTAGTAGACAGGTAGGCATCTCGAGAGAAGGCTTACTACTGCACCAGTAAAGGTCAAAAGTTATTTTGGGGTTTACCAGTTATTTTTTAGTAAAAATCCAGACACAGTTCAAATCCCCTTTCATTCCCCTTAGATCACACTTCTCCCCTTTCTCCACAGGTGAACATTTTTCTGAAAGCCATGAGCTTCTTTAAGGGCTATATTTTTATTATATGTCTCCCTAAATAGTTTGTAGCTCATAGATGGTATGACAGCCCTGATGCAGCATTTAAATAGACACATAAATGTTCCATTGGGGCTGTCCTATCATCTATATTGTTCTGCAGCTCACTTTTTTCACACCCCCATCTTTGAAATTGATCCATATTCATTTATGTGTGTCTCATTCACCACTTGTTAACTGTTGTTGAATAGTTTTTCTATTATGAATGCAGTGAAGGTCAATTTTCATGGCATTTATTTCCATTGCTTTAAGGAAAGCATGTCTATGAAGTATAGCTGAAGTGGAGGAAAACAGAGAGGAGATGTGGAAGAGATAAGAAAAGGCCAAGAGTCTAATTCTCTCCAACAGAAACTCAGGATTTGCTTTAGACTCTTTGGGGTGGAAGAGATCTCAAAGGTAACAGGGTTCACTATGTTGCACTCCCGCTTTATGGGTGGATAGGACCTGGCAGCTCCTCTGAGTCAATCCAGTACTGTGTTGGTTCTGTCTTATTGCCAAGTCCCCTGGGCAAGAGTGCCTTGAGCACTGGGGTGATCATTCCTTGGACAATAGTTGTACATAATCATGTCACAAATGTTGTTGTAAATTGCTTTTTAACTCAGACTGATATTTGTGATGATGTGGTATTTTAGGTAGTTGATAAATAAAGACTTTTTTAAAAAGTACTGTTACAGGCTATGTGTGTGTATGTTATTAAACACTCATCTTGATAGCTTTTTAAATACTTCCTTCTTCTGCTGCATTTTTTTTAGCAAGGTTGCTCTGGCAGCCTGCTTCCTTCCTGGTTGTCATATGCATCGTTAAAATCAGATCTCAAAGTGTTTAGCTTGTTTATTAAAAAATGTAAAACTTGTCTTAAAGTTGTGGTTCCTCTAGCCCATGGAAAAACATCCAAGGTGAGTAGTGAACACCCTTTCTTTCCTCTCCCTCCTCTCCCTTAACAGGTCTAGTGAACCCAAGGAAATCATTGTTAATGTTCCTTTTACATTACAGCTCTTTTGATTTTGTCCTTGTTGTTAAAGAGGAGAAGATATAGTTTAACAGGTATCCTGAATGTAACACGTACTATAAAACTGTGTGTGGGAAAGAACACTCGCATGAAATGGAATCCCTTGTGGTCTCTGGTTCTCCTATGTCTGCTGTTAACTCATCTCTGTTCAGCTTGACATGGGGCCCACCTTTCTCAGACTCTCCTCTATGCTCTCTCTCC